CCGAGTACTGCGTTAGCACGTGTGAGGCTGTGGTCCTCAGTGGAGTGCCCACTGAGTGGGTTTGCTAGTGGAGTTGAAGTATGTCAGGGTTTTATTCACAGGTGAGAGAAGGAAGAAGCAGGAGGTTGTGGAAGAGAGCTGAATGTGAAAGTGTGGATTTAACGTTGGATCCACATCCCTACGCTCAGCCACAGACGGGCGATGAAGTCAGAGTTTCTATTGTTTGTGATGTTTTGTGTTTCTCTTGCTGGGCTGTGTCTGTGCATCACTTTTGTTTGTATCTGGAGCAGCTTCAGATATTCTTCTTCAACCACCCACAGGGACACACAGATGAAGCGTCAGAGAGTCGGCTCAACACACCTCTGTAAGCTTCAGAAGGAGCACCGGAGTGTTTTTCACACAGCTGAGTGACTGAGTGGAAATACTGATGTTCAAAGTGAGCCTCCATGTGCTGTGCTGTCCACGCCTCACACACACATGGAGCTGCACAAACACACTCACACACCACAGTCCACACAGCGCCGCGCACGTCAGGCTCAGGAATCTGCTCCGTTTCCACAGCAGAGTGGCGAGAGGAGTTTCTTTCCTCTGTTGCCCTCTCACATCTCTGGAAGGCCAAATATTTGCCACAGCCGGGAAACATTCCTGGGCACTCCCTCGCTGACCGAGGCCAGCAACCATCTTAGCTTTTCCTCTTAAATGAAGTCATCACGGGTTGTCAGGGCCGCAGGCTTTCAGAATCCTAACTGTGGAAAAAACACAGCGGCTGGTTGGATACTGTGACGAGTCACACGGAGCGAATCGTCAGGTCCTTCAAATGCTCACAAGCTGATTGTTCTGAACTCCACGTATCAAACACATGAAGTCTCAAACTGACCTGCTTCATCATTTTATTTTAACGCCTGTAGAGCGCGCGCACACACACACACACACACACACACACACACACACTTTTGATCATCCTCACATTGCTGGTCAGGGAATAATTCAGCGGCTGTGTGGGAAGGTTTACTGGAATGTGCGCTGCCTCACACACAGATGAATTTTATCATCCTCACTTGTTTTTGTGCTGAACAGAAGTGATGTTTTAAGCTCTGAGGTCATACGATACACGTGCTGCAGGTTTCTAGACTTCTTTGCAGTGTTTGCAACAGTCAGAGCAATGCAACGATTGTACCGGTACCAGAAGGTCCCAGATTAAAACAGAGCAGATGTGCATGAAGAATATGTTTGGAGAAGGAGTCGTCTCTGGAACAATAGCTTTGCTGTCAGCTTATTGATGCACCTGATTGCTTCATCATAAATATCTGAGGGCGTGTTCCTCCATTTAAACGTCCCTGTACACACAGTATCTCACAAAAGTGAGAAAGTATTTTGTTATCTTTTCATCACAACATTGTTGATATGACACTTTGATACAATGTAAAGTAGTCAGTGTGCAGCTTGTATAACAGCGTCAACTCGCTGCCCCCTCAAAATAACTACACACAGACATTAATGAGTGCACAGTGACAATGGTACGGCTCCAAACAAACTCCAGCTAGGCAGGAAGTGAATGTACGCTGTGCAACTACAGCTCATCAGCTGATTTGGACCAAAGTAAAGGAGCTGTAGCTGTGAGAACGCCCTCAGACCTGATTGGTCGGGTCGTTCATCATCTCTAACCAAACTGTCACTGACTTTAAAGCCCAAACAAAACTCAGATGGCTTCTCGTCCACTCTCCTCCTGCTGAGGTTGCTTTGATAATAACATAAACACTTCTTTCCTCCTGCTGTAACTGACCAACATCACAAAGCTGCTTGTGGGTAATTATCCTTCACCGGGGCTTTCTCCCTCCTGTTGCTGTGCACTGTTGCTATATAAATAACATTGTGTCTGCATTTAGATCCAATCCAAACTCCCAATTTGAGTTTTATCTTCTTTTCCGTTGCTGGGAATGGCTGGAAAGGCAGAGCGCTGGGAAGGGTGTGGGCAGCAGCGGCTTGTTTCATTTAAAGCCACAAGTACAGAAACAGCCTCTGTGGGCGGGGCTAAAGCGAGCGGCATACAGACAGGAACCAGCTCTGGGTGCACACGCTGGAGACATGTGGAGCTTCTGACTAGTCTAAAAAGGCTTTAACATGCTTGTGTGGATATTTAACCAAACTTCTCTCTGTTTCTTTCAGGGTCGAGTTCCAGAACAAGTTCTACTCGGGTCAGGGCTTCAAGTTTGTCCCCTTCTCGTTCGAGAGCATCCTGGAGGGAAGATTCGACGAGTGATCGGCCTCGGCCCATCCAGCAGTCTTCAGTGGTCCCTCTGTGTTTGTGTGGGCGTGCATGAGCCCCAGTGCAGTGTTTGTCTCCCCCTGGTGGCACTTTGTGAAACTTTATTGTGTATGAACTGTAGTTTATTCCCTGTGACGTGAAGCGCATTCCCGGGCTTATCCCCACAAACCTGGTCTTTGCATTTAAACACAGATATCACACAATCAGTCCAAACACTTTCAGGTCAAATCAAGCTGAATATACTTTCATATGCAGCAGTTATGTGTGTGCAGAGGTGCATCATGGGTCAGGCGCGCCCACAAGTTTATATATAATCAAACGTAAATAAATGATCGCGTCTCGCTGGATTTAAGGACATGAAGTCGTCTGTCTGTGTCGTCATCAGTTCTCACATGCTGCTTACAGCTCACTGCTCCCTGGATCATCTTTCTCTCCTCTGGAGACGAGCTGCACCCGAGCTCCACCCGAGCCCCACCTGCTCTCATTCATCAGCTGCTGTGCTGCTTGCACTGTAGTATTTCTGTGAGGACACACCTCGCTCCAGTCGTCTGTGTTGCTCTTTGCAGGTAATCATTGAAATGATCTGATGGCAGCTCCGTCTGTGAACGTGGAGCTCCGCCCTCTTTGGTGAACCCCAGCAGAAGCTTTCACACTAGCATTAAATCTGGCCCTAACACCGGGCGGCGCTGCGATCGCTCATTTACACCCAAAATGAATCTAAACTGATAAAGCTCAGCATGAATATTCGGTTTCCCCAGTGGTGGAGCACTACTCCGCTGTACATGTGTCAGATGTCTTATCACAGGGTACAGCTCATGATAAATGCTTTGGCTGACTGGAAATACAGGTTTTGTAACTTTGACACAGTGAGACAACATCCAGATATTTTGTGATGTTTCTTTGCTCGATCACGACTCTGATCATTCCTGTCAGCGTCCACCTGCTACACAGTGACGAGGTTCTCACTGTTTTATTCTAACTTTTTAAACAAGCATTTGTTTTTCGTCCCCGTACATCACCTGTGATGCATCGGCACATACTCTGCCAGTTCAGTCACACATGCTCACATATCAGAGAAGACTTTATGCACATCTTTGAGAGTTTAGATCACAAACTAAGGCTGTTGCTGCACATGAAACAGCACGTTTCACTGTTGCACTCTCAGGACTGATTCCACGCAGCGTGGGAACTGACCGTGATTACTGGGAGAGTTTTCTCTGGGACCCCACTGAAGATCCTGCTCGTGCAGTGACAACACCTCAGCTGTGATGAGTCACAGGTCACGTATTTCAAGATTAAAGCATCTTTAACATGTGATATCAGCATTATAATTAGAATCTCATTGCAGCTTTTAAAGTGAATGTTTGGTTTGAATTAGTGTGTGGCTGTAACCTGCTCCGTCTGTGTTTCCTGCTGTAAACCAGTTAAAGAGGGAACTCTGTCACCTCTGATTGTTTCAAAGCTTGGAAGATAATATCACATATAGACTTCAGTCCTTTGTTTCTTTAGCCTTTTATTTAATGGTTTGAAATCAGTGTCCAGCCTCTCCAACTCCTGAGTGTGTCTGAGATCTAAGGTTTAGTCAGCCGTTAGTCCGCATTCATGTTGGTTTGATCACCACAGCTGTTATTGGGCTGGATTTTCATCATCCCTGTGTTTGGTTTTATGGGAACGTGTATTTGAAGTGCTGTGATGAACTTGTGTTTCCATTTGGATGAGAAAAAATCAGACGTGCTGTTGATGTTGAACAGTGACAGAAGTGTAAAGTGTTCATGTGTTAATAAACAGACACCTGGGGATTCACGCTGTGTGTGTGTGTGTGTGTGTGTGTGTGTGTGTGTGTGTGTGTGTGTGTGTGTGTGTGTGTGTGTGTGTGTGTGTGTGTCTTTTGTAAATAGATAATAAGTCCGTCCTCACATCATGCACACAACACTGTGCCACTGGGTCCGAACACTTTATTGTGATAGATTTCCGACCAGACTAACAACTTCCTGTTGGGGTACATCACCATGGTGCCTTCGCCTGCGATCATAGGCGCTCCACAGCATCTTATAGGAGATAAGAAATCCTAATGATCCATCAGTTCTCTGTAAAATAAAAGCAGCATTCCCAGAAAGTCACATAAACCTTAGAAAGTAGAAATGTCTGTTTTACACACAAGTCTTTGTGTTTTCCTGTCTGATGAACAGAAGTTGATCCTTATGATCAGCTTCATTGCTTTTGTTACACCACAGCAGGGCAACTTGTTGACTCTATAAAATTCCTCCATGCTGTC